CTGGTAAGTAGACATTTGGTGTGGTATTTAGAGACACACAATCGTCTCTCCACTAGTCAATATGGCTTTCATAAGGCCTGGTGGCTCAAGCTCCCACTTCACACACGGAGGGCCCGGGTTCGATTCCCGGCGGGTGGAAACATTTTGACACGTTTCCTTACACCTGTTATCCTCTTCACCTAGCAGCAAATAGGTACCTGGGTGTTAGTTGACTGGTGTGAGTCGCATCCTGGGGGACAAGATTGAGGACCCCAATGGAAATAAGTTAGACAGTCCTCGGTGATGCACTGACTTTCTTGGGTTATCCTGGGTGGCTAACCCTCCGGGGTTAAAAATCCGAACGAAATCTTATCTTATCTCCATTTAGACACATATGTACGTAATGCCTTTGCCAATAACCACTCAGTTATTGCCAACTTTTTTGATCTTGAGAAGGCATATGACACAACTTGGAGATATAACATCTTGACCCAAGCTCACTCCTTAGGCCTCTGTGGCAGTCTACCATTTTTCCTTAAGAACATCTTATCCGAGAGACATTTCCATTTTGGGTTAATAATATGCTTTCCCCAGACTGTCCAAGCTGCAAGTGTCCCAGGGATATGTCCTGAGCACCACACTTTTTCTCCTTGCTATAAATGATCTGGTATCTATTCTTCCATCTAATATTTGGTTATCACTCTATGTTGATGACTTTTCTATAGCTTGTACAGGTGCTGACTGTTGGCTCATTGCGGTTTCTCTCCAGCATATGGTCAACCGTGTTTCCATTTGGGCTACTGCTCATGGGTTTAAATTTTCTAGTACTAAAACACACCAAATTACTTTCACTAGACATTCTGTCATCCCTGATAATCCATTGTACCTGTGTGGTTCGTGTATCCCAGAACGTGATACTGTCAGGTTTCTCAGCCTTCTCTTTGACCGTCAGTTATCCTGGAAACCTCACATTGAAGGCAACTTGTCAGAGCCGGCTGAACCTCCTTAGCCCCTTCACTGTTGGTCACGTAATATTAAGGTTTGCAAGCCAGTGTCAGTCCTGCAGTATTAGGCCAAAATTCTAGTGGCTTCAAATCTTGCAGGAGAAAGCTGGTAGGCCTACATATGAGAAAATGGGCCTGAGTGGTCAGTGTGCGCAGTATAAAAAAAATCCTGCAGCATGCAGTGCATAATGAGGGAAAAAAACTCCGATCGTGTTTATGGTTTAAAACACTAATTTTGCAGTGTATTTTCATATGGTATTTATGGTTGTATTCTTGTTTTCTTAATCTCATTTGATAGAATGGAAGAGATATTGCAGAAATAGAGATGATTTTATATGGTATACAAACTAAAAATACCTTGAAATTCAGCTCAAAATAGTGGAAATGTTTGATTTTTGCAAATATTCAAGAGTAAACAAATCACGTCATGGTTCCAATACACATTGACTGGTGGGTCTAATAGGCTTTCACTAATGTGCTGATATTATTTATACTATTTTTACATAATGCAGTAGTCTGCATAACAGTAAATCTTCTTTTTTTAGTGTGAATAAAAATTCAAAATGGAAAGCAAGCATAATATAAGAGGGGCTTGGAGACGTAACTAATGAACAGAGAAAATATTATTTGATAGGAATGTTTGTATTGTTAATTCTGGACCCTATTTTGAAATTGGCCTTATTCGAATTGTGTATGAAATTGGCAAAATTACCAAATTCTGATCACTTTATTGGGTAGTTAAAATTGATAAATGGGCAATTTATTGTACTCATTTGATAGAACAAATGGGCTTCTAGCGAAAAAACTATGAATTTGGTCGACTGGAACAAAGGAATTGGCTGAAAATAGGGCTCAGAGTGGGCAAAATCGCTGATGCATAGACAGCGCTGAGACCACTAACTTGGCAAGAGCATAATTCCATAAGTTTTCCATCACATTTCATACTTTTGGTGTCATTACCATAGGGAAAAGATTCTATCATTTCATAAGAAAAAAATAGTTTTTTTTTTTTTTTAATTCTTCGACACTGAGAGCAAGTTTGTGATCAGGGGTCTTGACAGTGAAAGAATTAAAATCCTCACTCATCTTTCATGGGAGGTTGATCATAGAACTCTCGTTTGACTGCATTCTGCCCTAATTTTATCAAAACTAGATTATGGCGACCAGATATATTCAGTGGCCTCTCCTGCAACTCTTTCCAGCCTTGATCCCATCTGTTACCAGGGATTACATTTATGCCTCGGTGCTTTTTGTCTCTATGCAGAGGCAAAAAGCCTGTATGCGAATATTTTGCCTCCGCGCAGAGGTGAATATTCCATCCTTGACCGATCACTGTGCTCATTGCCTCCCCTGTTTTGTTTGCTTTCATGACCTCTGCAATCCTTCCATATATAGGATGGTAATGGGTGTTAATAGAAGTTCCTTATTTGTTTGCCATCCCTGTTTATTCTGTCCCTTTTCTCCTTGTCTACATTTGCTCACCTTCTCTTCAGTTGCCACCTTTCTTTGTTCATGTAACATCTAACTTTTCCCTCTCCCTTGGGAAGTTCTGATGGTTCATGTCTGTTCTTCCCCACTGCCATGTGCGAGAGCCCAGATACCTGCGGCTACTTCCTGCTTTCTTTTTCTTAATCACTTAGTCTCATTCTCATGCCATCACAGTGTACACTGATGGTTTCAGGTCTTCTGACAGTGTCGAATTTTGCAGCAGTTTTTCCAGACAGTGTCGTATGAGGTCATTTATTAGCCTCGACTAGCATTTTTACAGCTGAATTGTATGCCATTTTTGTAGCAATTATCTGTATTGCATCTATGCCCGTGTTGCCGTTTGTGGTAGTTTCAGACTCCATTAGTGCTTTACAGGCTATACGAAATTTTGAGTGACCTCATCCCCTGATTCTTCATATCCCACTTTGGTTATGCCGTATCTCTAGGAAGCACAAAGGTATTGTTTTTTGTGGGGTCCCCAGTCATGTTGACATACAGGGCAGTGAACAGACAGACACTGCTGAGCGGTCAGCAGTACATGAACTCCCAGTTTCATATAGAGGTGTTCTAGTCACAGACTATTTTGCTGTGATTTCTACCCACCTTCGCAACTGTTGGCAACAACATTGGTCTGATCTGCTACATAACGAATTGCATTCTATTAAACCAAGTATTAGTTTCTGGCTGTCTTCTAGTCATTAGTGTCAAGGGTGGGAGACTACACTCTCCTGTCTTCGCATCGGCCACACTCGTCTTATTCATGGGTATCTCATGGAGAGGCACCCTGTTCCACTCTGTGAGAATTGTAAGGTTCAAGTTTCTGTTAACCATATTGGACTGCCCTCTCTATCAGTGAGCACGCAGAATTTACCTCCGACGTCGTCACTGCTCTACTGCCCTTATTTTACCTGGCCCCGTGGCCTGGCTGGCAAAGCTCTCGCTTCACACATGGAGGGCTCAGGTTCGATTCCTGGTGGGGTAGAAACATTTTGACATGTTTCCTTGCACCTGTTGTCCTGTTCACCTAGCAGCAAATAGGTATCTAGGTGTTAGGTGACTGGTGTGGGTTGCATCCTGGGGTACAAGATTGAGGGCTCCAGTGGAAATAAGACAGACAGTCATCGATGATGCACTGCCCTTCTTGGGTTATCCTGGGTCGCTAACCCTCTGGGGTTAAAATCCGAACGAAATCTTATCTTACCTTCTTGCTGATGGGCTCTCCTTTAACCCAAACTCTCTCGTTGATTTTTGACAGCAACTGATTTACTGTACAAGCTTTCATGATGATGCCTCTAGCACTCATCACAGCCCTTTCTACCTCAATCTCTTGCTACCCTCTACCCCTGCACTATCCATGGCCCTGCTGCACTCCATGTCCTAATAATAATTCCTCTCTCTCTCTTGCTACCCAGTACCCCTGCCTGAAGTATGTATGCCTGAAGTACTCTGCATATAAAGGGGCTTTTGGTATGTACACCCAATTGTTATATTCCTTTGAAATAAAATAATTATTATGAAAACAGCAGTGTGAAAGGAGAGGTTGCACCTCAGGACAATGCCAACCCTCCATATCTCGGGCAGTCCAGAAGACTAGTCAAACCTCCAGATAGGTTGGCTTTATAAATAGTTTTTGGATGATGAGCTAATCTTTGTATTTTAATGATACCCCCTGTGGTGATGATATAATGTAATTTAGAAAAGGAGGAATGTAAGGCATTGGGAGCAGTGAGAGAATTAAATACTCTATGTTTTGATCATCTGATCATCTATTGAGGCATTTACAGCTGTGAATTGTTGTTGTTGTTGTTATCCCGGGCATTGGCGCAAATACACACAGCTCACTACTGTCTCTCATTATCTCCTACAACCATAACATGAAGCAAGGGTGGAAACAGTGGAGACGTATACCTGGAGATACCTGGAGAAGGCTTTGGGGGTCAATGCCCCCCCAGCCCAGTCTGTGACCAGGCCTCATGGCAATGTGCAGTATGAATATTATGTAGGGAATTCATAGTTTGGGGATTAAAAGGAGGTGCAGGGTTACTGATAATATTATCCAAAGGGCTGAGGAAGGGTTGTTGAGGTGGTTTGAACATTTAGAGAGGATGAAACAAAATAGGATGACTTGGAGAGCATATAAATCTAGTGGAAGGACAGTGGGGTAGAGGCCATCCTAGGAAAGGTTGGAGGGAGGGGGTAAAGGTTTTTTGTGAAGGGCTTGGACATCCAGCAAACATGTATGAGCATGTTAGATAGGAGTGGAGGCAAGTGGTTTTTATAATGTGATATGCTGTTGGAGTGTGAGCAAAGTAACATTTATGAAGGGATTCAGGGAAACTGGTTAGCTGGGCTTGAGTTGTGGAGGTAGGAAATACAGTGAGTATACTCTGAAGGAGGGGTGGGGGTATTTGCAGTTTTGAATTGTACTACTGGCATGCCTCTGGCAAGATAAGGATGGAGTGAGTGATGGTAAAATAATCTGCACATTTTCTCAGAGATGTTTTTAAGTGAGCATCATTTTACATGCAGGTCATACTACGTGAAGAACGAGACACTGGCCAAGGTTGCTGCTGAGATGAAGTTCAACAGACATCTACTCCACATGGCTCCCAAGCTCTCTATCTCTATTGAAAAGTTCTTGAAGCTCATACAAGATGATTATGAGGAAGACACTCTCAACACTGAGGATGATGCAGTGGATGCTGAGGTAAGATCTTTAGTATTACACTCTCAACACTGAGGATAAGGATGTGGATACTGAGGTAAGATCTTTAGTATTACACACTCAACACTGTGGATGAGGATGTGGATGCTGAGCTAAGATCTTTAGTATTATACTCTCAACACTGAGGAGGAGGATATGAATGCTGAGCTAAGATCTTTAGTATTACACACTCAGTCAATCAATCAATTTTTATTTCCTTGCAAGATTACATTGAGATTATGAAATTACAAAAATGAGTTGCAATGCAAAGAGAGCCACTATCATGCCTAGGCATTATGGGCAGACTTAACTTAATGGCTTACAGACTACATAATATTAAAGAAATTTAACATAGTTTAAGTTGTACATTTTGTTTATTTATAGTACACAGTAATTTTAATCAAGTTACAATAGTTTCAATAGAAAATACAGTGGAACCTTGACTTATGAGTGCCCCAATGTATGAGTTTTTTGAGATATGAGCCGTCCCTGGGTCGATTTTTTGCTCTGAGTTACGAGCCAACTCACCCTGCTTCCCCATCGCTTGTTTATTTATGATTTCATGCTTTAATTCCATGGAAATCATCCTCTCTTCTCAGCATTGTCCTTTAAACTTACTTTCTTAGGACCCATGCTCAGAGAAATGAAATTTGGCCAAATGACTGTCAAAAATGTAAGCAAAGCATGAGAGAAGTGCTCCCACAGCGAGGTAAACAGTACACTGAGTTGGCGGCGTTCATTGTTGTTATAATATTATTATTACCTAGAGTTTACCTGGAGAGAGTTCCGTGGGTCAACGCCCCCGCGGCCCGGTCTGTGACCAGGCCTCCTGGTGGATCAGAGCCTGATCAACCAGGCTGTTACTGCTGGCTGCACGCAAACCAACATACGAGCCACACCCCGGCTGGTCAGGTACCAGCTTTAGGTGCTTGTCCAGTGCCTGCTTGAAGACTGCCAGGGGTCTATTGGTAATCCCCCTTAAGTATGCTGGGAGGCAGTTGAACAGTCTCGGGCCCCTGACAATTATTGTATGGTCTCTTAACGTGCTAGTGACACCCCTGTTTTTCATTGGGGGGATGTTGCATCGTCTGCCAAGTCGTTTGCTTTCGTTGTGAGTGATTTTCGTGTGCAAATTCGGTACTAGTCCCTCTAGGATTTTCCAGGTGTATATAATCATGTATCTCTCCTGCCTGCATTCCAGGGAATACAGGTTCAGGAACCTCAAGCGCTCCCAGTAATTGAGGTGTTTTATCTCCGTTATGCACGCCGTGAAGGTTCTCTGTACATTTTCTAGGTCAGCAATTTCACCTGCCTTGAAAGGTGCTGTTAGTGTGCAGCAATATTCCAGCCTAGATAGAACAAGTGACCTGAAGAGTGTCATCATGGGCTTGGCATCCCTAGTTTTGAAGGTTCTCATTATCCATCCTGTCATTTTTCTAGCAGCTGCAATTGATACAATGTTATGGTCCTTGAAGGTGAGATCCTCTGACATGATCACTCCCAGGTCTTTGACGTTGGTGTTTCGCTCTATTTTGTGGCCAGAATTTGTTTTGTACTCTGATGATATAATTTCCTCATGTTTACCATACCTGAGTAATTGAAATTTCTCATCGTTGAACTTCATATTGTTTTCTGCAGCCCACTGAAAGATTTGGTTGATGTCCGCCTGGAGCCTTGCAGTGTCTGCAATGGAAGACACTGCCATGCAGATTCGGGTGTCATCTGCAAAGGAAGACACGGTGCTGTGGCTGACATCCTTGTCTATGTCAGATATGAGGATGAGGAACAAGATGGGAGCGAGTACTGTGCCTTGTGGAACAGAGCTTTTCACTGTAGCTGCCTCGGACTTTACTCTGTTGACTACTACTCTTTGTGTTCTGTTTGTGAGGAAATTATAGATCCATCGACCAACTTTTCCTGTTATTCCTTTATTACGCATTTTGTGTGCTATTACGCCATGGTCACACTTCTTGAAGACTTTTGCAAAGTCTGTATATATTACATCTGCATTCTTTTTGTCTTCTAGTGCATCTAGGACCTTGTCGTAGTGATCCAATAGTTGAGACAGACAGGAGCGACCTGTTCTAAACCCATGTTGCCCTGGGTTGTGTAATTGATTGGTTTCTAGATGGGTGGCGATCTTGCTTCTTAAGACCCTTTCAAAGATTTTTATGATATGGGATGTTAGTGCTATCGGTCTGTAGTTCTTTGCTATTGCTTTACTGCCCCCTTTGTGGAGTGGGGCTATGTCTGTTGTTTTTAGTAACTGTGGAATGACCCCCGTGTCCATGCTCCCTCTCCATAGGATGGTAAAAGCTTGTGATAGGGGCTTCTTGCAGTTCTTGATGAACACGGAGTTCCATGAGTCTGCCCCTGGGCCAGAGTGCATGGGCATGTCATTTATCACCTGTTGGAAGTCATTTGGCATGAGGATAACATCAGATAGGCTTGTGTTAACCAAATTCTGTGGCTCTCTCATAAAAAATTCATTTTGATCTTCGACTCTCAGTCTGGTGAGCGGCTTGCTAAAAACTGAGTCATATTGGGACTTGAGTAGCTCGCTCATTTCCTTGCTGTCATCTGTGTAGGACCCATCTTGTTTAAGTAGGGGCCCAATACTGGACATTCTCGACTTTGATTTGGCATAGGAGAAGAAATACTTTGGGTTTCTTTCGATTTCATTTATGGCTTTTAGTTCTTACTGCGATTCCTGTCTCCTATAAGATTCCTTTAGCTCAAGTTCGATGCTTGCTATTTCTCTGACCAGTGACTCCCTACGCATTTCAGATATATTGGCCTCTTTTAGCCGCTCTGTTATTCTTTTCCGTCGCCTGTAAAGGGAGCGCTTGTCTCTTTCTATTTTACATCTACTCCTCCTTTTTCTTAGAGGAATAAGCCTTGTGCATACATCGAGTATGGGTGGGAACCCTGTCATATGTGGTATTTTGCCAAGGAGAGGAGTTGGAAATGAATGGTTGTCCAGGGCAATTGGTGTCAATTGCTGGCTGGACAAATACTGTAAGGAAAATGCGGTAACATTCATTGACAACTGGGACCTCTTCTATGGCAGAAATGACATGTACGCCATGGATGGGGTTCACTTATCTAGGTCTGGGGTGGAAGCACTGGCAACTGCAGTGGAGGGAGCTGTTAGGACTTTAAACTAGGAAGAGTTAGTGGTGTGGGTTTTGGCAGGAAAACAGTGAAGTCCCAGTGTAGTAATATTACGAGTTCTAGGGGGACTAGTAATAAGCAGAACGAGGTAGATATTGAAAAGCCAGTGACTTTGGGTGTAAGGACAGTAATGGGTTTTTGTAGAAAAACAGAAATAGGGGAAGGGTAAAGGAAAGGAGAGTCTTTAAATTTTTTTTTTGCTAATTGCCGTATGTAAATAGATGGACGATTTTTGAGATTAGTTGCTAGTGAGGTAACATTGAGTTTTTTGCCTTAACTGAGACGGGGTTTTAAATTAAAAAAGTCGGGAATCTGCGGAATGTCATATTCGGGTTTTAAATTATTCAAGTAGAAGAAGTATCGGGAAGGGGGGTGGGGTGGCATTGTATGTCCGAGATCACTTGAACTGTTGCATAAAAAGGGGGTTTTAAATTGAATAACAATACAGAGTCTTTTTGGATAGAATTTTCAGGGGGCAAAAAAAACTGATTTTAGGAGTAAATATACCATCCCCCAAACTTAGTAGGGACCAAGGAGACTATATGGGGGGAAATTTTTAAAGGCCAAAAGGCAGATAATGTAGTAATTTCTAGGAGACTTTAACTTTAGTCATATTGTTTGGAATTTTTGATGGGAATTTAAAATCATACGTTCTTAGGTAGTTCAGGATTGTTTTTTGAAGCAGTTTGTGAAGAACCTACAAGGGAAAATAACCTGCTTGACTTATTTTGGGCAAACAATGAACCCTTTTTAAATTTTTTAAAAATTTCAGAGGAACTGGGTGCTGCGACCAAAATCAATTAATTTAGCATTGAATGGAATGAGTAGGATAACCAGTAACAGTCGCGATTGATGGGTTGAGAGACTTATCATTTTTGCTGGGGAACAAGAACATAAATATGCAGTTTTCTAAAACTATACTGCTGTCAAAACGGTTTTTCCCCTATAAGAATTAACAAAAGATTGACCCAAAATGGGATGAATAAAGGCTCAAATATTACTAGGGGGTAAAAAGGTTTATAGGCGATCAAAAGGGTAGGGTCATCTTATGATCAGTATATTGACATTAAGAGGGACATTAAAAAAGGGGATAAAAAAAGCTAAAAGGGGGCTATGAAATTAAAAGTTTAGGGGTTCTAAAACTAACCCAAAAAATTTTTTTCCAGGGCTTTAGAACAAAAGTTAGAGGTAAGAAGGTCCCTTAAAATAACTATGGGCACCTTACTGACAAAGAGAATGAATGTGCCGATTTTAAAAAATTTTTTTTTCTCAGTTTTTTCACGGAAGACCTAACAATATTCCAGTAATTAATTTTTATAGGGGCTAGAAGAAGATAAATTATGTAACATCACAGTCACTAGTGAAATGGTTTTGTGAAGCAGATAGACAGACTGAAGCAAAATAAGTCGCCGGGTCCTGATAAAGTTTTTTAAAGGGTTCTTAAGGATTGCAAAATGGAACTCTGGAACCATTAACTAATATTTTTAATTTATTCTTCAAACAGATGTAGTGTCTGATATGTGGAAGATGGCTAATGAAATTTCCTATTTTTAAAACGGGACAAGTCGTTACCGTAAAATTTAAACCGCCAATAAGCCTCACCTCAATTTAGGAAAAATTACTGAGTCAATTATAGCTGAGATTATAAGAAGCCATCTCGATAAGCATAGTTTTGATTAATGATACTCAGCATGGATTCACAAGAGGGCCAGTCTTGTCTAACTAATTTATTAACCTTTCTTCAGTAAAGCTTTTGAGGCTTTTGACCACGTAAAGAATTTGATATTATTTATTTAGATTTTAGTAAGGCTTTTGATAGAGTTCCGCAC